CATTCAAAACACCAAGAGACCTCTAGACAATTGCTGTTACTCAAGCAATAACGGTAGGTATCATGAAAGTGGGGAAAACACTAGAAAATTCTCGCGGTACACACTTTAACCTGAACCATACCTATTAAATTTATATTCCAAACAAGCAAGAAAGGCATTAACTAAACTAAGACGTAGCGATCACAACCTAAGGATTGAACAAGGCTGTCACCAAGCCAGCCCTTGTGTGAAGAAAGATCAGCTAAGCATTATCAAAACGCACACCTTTTTTCTTTTTCTTTTTTTTCGTGTTTTATTTTTAAAATTAATTCAACTTATAAACTCGAAGATAAACGCAAACGGTTGTAAACATCACGGACATTGCCGGAAGTCGGTTTACATGTTTATAACGACAGTCGCAAAGCGCTCTAGAACAACGAATGTGATTGGTTGTATTTTTAGATAAAGTTTTAATAGTCTGCTTTGAAAAATTGAGTGTTGTTCCTTTTTGATTAAACATGCTAAATGTGTGATTCAAGTTATCCACATGTTCAAAACTGATATTTTGTTAGATGAAAAAAAAATCAGCTAAAAAATGTCAAAATTAATAGTACAAATGCAGAGCTAATTTTTAGCCCAAAATGCTGGAAATGGCATTTCATGAAGTCTAGTTTTCAAAATTTTTCCGGGGGGCATGCCACCGAACACCCCTAGTTTGCCTCGTGACCTGCGGGCACTCCGATGCAAATCACACACCTCGGCGAGCCAAGGTGTGCGATTTTTCACTCGCTTGCTTTTTCCAAAACACAAGGACTGAACATAAAAGGTATCTCCACACAAGCACACCCGAACATGTAGACACCTTGCTGAATTTGTAAAAAGACCCCCCTCAAACAAAAATTTAAGCCTACCTACCTACCCAAACTTTTCAGCCTGGGTCGGGTGAGGGCAAACAACGATTTTTTTAATTGTGGGCTAGATTTGTTACACAATGGACATGAGTGTAATATACAGCATACACACACGTGCTCAGCCTTAAGATCTCGGGTGTTGAAAGTTTCACGCCGTCATCTCGTCTACTTATTTTATTGTTACCTGACAATGTCGCCTCTTTGAAATTTTCCTAGAAATTTCAAATTTTTTAGACAAATTTAGGCCCACGGTTTTAGATTTTAAAGTGTAGGGGTTGGGGTAGAAATTATAGTTTAGGAACGCGGTTAAGGTTACAATCAATATAGGTCATTTGGATTTACATTTTTATGCTGGCCACCCTTGACACCTACGAGCGAGTCGGTAGGGGGGGAGATCGCAGGGGTGGAATGTCCATAATCCTGTAGGCCAAAGTAAGCCGCCACAATTTCATATACGTGGCACAATGCACCATGCATCTCTACATTCACAGCATATGCCCGCACCCGTGAGCATCACTACCATAGACTTTCGCTACCATAGGCTTGGGCCTGACCACACCTGTCTTCTTCCACGAGATGCTCTATGTTGCCCTCTCACAAGTAGGCAAACCCAGGGCGATGTACATTCACACACAGCATACGATCGAAGACCAAAAACATACTTTACAAAAAAGTCCTTGATCCTTAGGTGAGCTACAACACTAATACATTCATTCTGATTCATGAATTCCCACCGTCCGAATTGGACGGGTACTTTGCGAGTAGTGCTCATAGGGTCTATGTCCCCCAAGGTACTGCCGGTACGTACCCTGGGTACGGTCCGGTATACCAGAACGTAACCTGGTCACTATTTGATATGGTTAGGGTTAGGATTAGGGTTAGGGTTAGGGTTAGGATTAGGGTTCGGGTTAGGGAGTAGGCGACTCCCTAGACTCGTTAGTGGAGTAGGCGAGGTACGGTCAGCATGGGTTTGGGTTAGGGTTAGAGAGTAGGCGTAGGCGACTCCCTAGACTCGTTAGTGGAGTAGGCGTGGTACGGTCCGGCATATTAGATAGCACCAGGGTAAGTTCCGGTATACCGGACCGTACCCAAGGATGTTCCGGCAGTACCCCGGGGGACATAGACCCTCTCAGCCTAAGTAGTCCGACCAGGCTGTGTGACTAACGTCAATATACACAGGGTCTTGTTATAGGGTCTTCTAATGCTAGCAAAGACCGTTTCTTGGAGCTATACCTTAGTACCTAGTAGTACTAGTAGTAAGTACCGTTATCAAAGTGCAAATTACGAAATGGTAATTTTTACTTATATTAACATATGCGCTTACCGTTGTTCTACGTGTTTCCTCTTCCTACTTTTCGGCTTCTTGTTGAAGGCTTCATTGCTGTTAATAGCAAAACATAGAACAGTGTTAAAGTTAATCGAGAATTATATTATTATTATTGTTATTTCTTCTGATTATTTCTTTTAAGCGTGTGTTATACAGGGAGCAACAAACCCGCTTGCCCGATGGCCTGGGGCAACCAAAATTCGTCCCCGGGCAAGTAGCTTGAAATTGCACTTGCCCGTTCAGCAAGCAAATTTTTTTTATTGAATGTCTAGTCTAGACACAATGATATTTTTTTGTTTCCACCCGTCCATTGCATTGTTTTGCACAGACAAGCTTGCTGCAACGAGATTTGAATGAAAAAAATACGCGGCCAGCGTGGTGCCAAATATACGCGGCTTAGTTGGCGCGAAATATGATTCCGCGCTAAGCAAGCCGCGTATTTAAGTACGGTACTGAATAAGCCGCGTATATTTTAGCGTGTGAACGCTCAAGTACGGAACTGAAATCCTCGTGTGAACGCAGCTATACACAATATGCACAGAGCAACATGTAAACTCGGCCCCCAGGCCAGGCATAGTCGTTACGTGATCAGCTACCTCAAATGTTTGCCCCTCTACTGCAACCTGTGATCAAGGATTTTCTTTGCTGATGTACACAAAAACAGATACACTGTATACGTAAAACCAGCCGCGATTTTAACCTATTCCTATGATCTAACTTCAGTAATAGCTATCGCTCTTACAATTAGGGGTAGGGGTAGAGTGAGGGTAGCACCTGCTGCACAAATAACTCTTCGCTAACTCCACGTGCACCTATGTTAATAGCAGGTGCTATACCAAGTTAACAGCACCATGTGCACCTGCACAGCTCACTTCTTACTTTCTCTAGTTGTTAAATATACTTACAGATGCGCCTCGTCCTCTTCACTCCTAGTGCAGTCCCAGTTCCTTCTGAAAAATCCAAATAGATACACTAAATTATTACCCCTGCAATTTGCTGCAAATCTATCTATCCCAGCAAAGAAACTTATTATTTACTAGCTGAAACCCGCGCTATGCGCGGGCTTAGTGACGGTGATGCATGTGTTACCAGTAGGCTACAGTAGTGTTATGTGTAAGGTGTGATATGGAGAGTTTAGTTGTTGCACATGTTTTTTTTATGGTTGAGATGTCAATACAAATTAGTGCTGTTGATCTTGATCTTGATCTTGATACACCGACAGTAACCAATTCTGGCGCGGCGTCGGCGGGAGTCGAGAGAGGGCTGCCTGTGTTTAGTCACAGTTTAAGCTTGTTTTGAAGGCCTCAACTGATTTTGCACGTACGATATTGTCCTCCAGCTGCCACTGGATCCAATCCACGATTGTCTGCACGAAAAATGTTTGCACGTGTTTGTAGATGTCAGGGTGCAGGGAAAAAATGTAAAATTTATTTTTCGGGCGCTACTTTTCAAGCTCGCGTGCATGAAAATAGCACTCTAAAATTTGGTTTGCATTGAACTCTATGCAAATTTACGGGGGCTCTTTTTGGCATTTCCAGGGCTCTTTTTGGCATTTCGGGGGCTAAATTGCCCCGAGCCCTCGTGTATTTTTTTGTGGATTTAGCACATACGATATTGTCCTCCAGCTGCCACTGGTTCCAATCCACGATTGCCTGCACGAAAAATGAATGTTTCTAGACGTCAGGATGGCTCCCTCATTTTAAGTGTGACGTCGATAATCTCGAACGAGTTCAACGCCGATCAATCCGATTCATATGCAATGACCATAGGGCTCGCTACCCGGGTTGCGTCGAATGCATGACGTCCACCATGAAAATCCCACCACTGCAGAGTTGTCGGAAGGAAATACGACTCACACAGTTTTTCAGGGTAGTGGAGGGGTTGGCGCCTGATATCCGGCAGGACAACTTCTTCCAACCAGTTCGAGGAAAAACAAAGACTCATCAGACTTAAAGCCTCACAATGTGCATCCAAACGCTAATTTCTACAGTACTAGACTAGCAAATACTTCGTGGCATGAATAATCACACTACCTTATGACAAAATAAACTCTAGCTCCTCCAATTTCACTGCGCGTTGTCTTATAAAAGGTATTTTGAAAATACCTCCAATGTTGTTGAAATTCTCCGATGTTGCTGACAGTTTCCCCAATCTCCAAGCAACCGTGCAGCGGTGGCGCGGTACAGCGGTACGGGCGCAGCAAAGATAAAAACATGTGACGTCACCAAACCAAGTCGATGTTATGTTGTTTGAAACAAGTTAGCATTGGCGCCTGATTACCTGATTTCGCACCTCTTTCTTGTTGGGAACGCGCAGTCAAATGGGAGGAACTAGAGTTTATTTTGTCATAAGGTAGTGTGATTATGCATGCCACAAAGTAGTTGCTAGTCTAGTACTGGAGAAATTTCAGCGTTTGGATGCGCATTGTGAGGCTTTAAAAAATTTGACAATTTTGTATCAGCAAACACTGTTGAACGTCTGGCTAGAAACAACAGTAGATGCCACAACATTATCCCTAGCAAGAGCCCCCCACACTGCAGTGCCATATTCCATACCAGACCTGATTAGGCAAAAAAAAAAAACCTGTGTTTTCGGTTTCCCGACCCTACCTAGTTTTTACACTCGACCCTACAACTTTTTATCCATATTTTTCAAAATAAAATTTAAACTGTGGAAATCCGATAGAAATTGAGTAAGTTGATCAACCCATACGCACGCTGATGGCCCCGATAGCGTTTATAGCGCATGGGAGAAAACTCGCGCAAGCCACGTGAAATACCGCCATGTCACGCGAGATCGTCGCACGTGTAAACAAGACAATAATGGCTTTCTAACACCGATTACAAAAAAAAGATTTGGAAAAAAAAAGTTAAAGCCTACCTACCCTACCTATTTTTTTCAGCATTTTTTTGGCCTTAGGGAGAAGCATGCATTTCTCTTACATACGGCTGGACAGCATCTTAGGTTTCGGCGCAGGACGCCTAAGATGGAGCTTGCCATTTTCACAATGATGTGATATAACAAATTAACAGATCATCTAATAATCAGATGATCTGAACCTGATCAAAAATTGCTTTCGACACGTGCCATCTTCAAAGGATCCCTTTAAGTTTAGCTTCATTGTCTCTGTCATCCGTATTGGAATTCTCTCCCTTCTTCTTGAGGTAGTATGAAACTTGAGGCTCTTTCTACTGTGATCCGCAGTGTTGATTCGTCTATTAAATGGATCAACTTCCGATATAGTACCTCGAGCTTTGCAGACTAATATTTACGAGCTTACGAGGTGACGGTACACAGTCTGAGTAATACTAATACTGTTGCTGAAACTTTGTGTAGTTCGTCCCAGCTATTGATGAAGACCTGACAAGCTACCGCGCCGTGTCTGAGGCGTTGAGCTCCGCGGAATGCAGTGTGGAGGCTCTTCCATCGATCGCTCGTACGCTGGCTGCGCTGCATTCCAAGACAAGACACCCAGGGGACGAACTAAAGTAAGGTTCACTAGAAAGGCCCAATCCTAGTTGAGCACCCAGGATTAGTGTGGCACGGATGTGAAAACACATTTGGGGGATCCCAATCTAGGATTTTACATTCAGACGTACTTATATATATATTATATACGCTTCTATCCTATAATAGCTATATTTCTCAACTGAATATGATATAAATATCAAGAGCGTATAAAGAAGGAGAGCGTACAACGATGAAATGGTGAAGCCATGTTGCAGTATTAGTTGAATTAAGAAACTTTGCTCGTTTATTTTGACGATTCTTTGCGGTATTATTGATCAGCTGTCCTACCTTGTTAATATAAAACAAACCACTTGTCCCTACGATGCTCCTACGCTGAGATAATGAGCGGTAAAAATCTGGTATTTTCGCCGAAAACCGACTCAAGATCAGTGTTTACTGCGACTGTCTCTCTATGTCGTCTGTCTATTAAGTAGACTAATACTGCAACATGGTGTCAGCATTTTACCGTTGTACGCTCTCCTTCTTTATACGCTCTTAATAATATATATATATATATATATATATATACATATAGAGGTATGTATATGACATCTGCCCATTTATAATAGAAGATGACTTAAGGGACATGAGGTGCGGGAGCGCGGTTCGAATTCCCTGACCATTTCACCTTTCCCATGAGGATCCCACCCATGCAATCACCATCGTATCATGTGCACCGTACATTAGGGGTGTAACGATTCACCGATACATCGGTGGATCACGCGTTACAGCGACCCAGGATGCGATAATCGCAGCATCCGTATCACGATACAAACGATACAGATGTTAAACTGTGTCTAAAGCAGGCTAAACTAACATGCATTTAACGTGCACCAGCAGGCCGGCATACAGGCACTAACCAGGGTGCGAAATTAACGCGAGTCCGGAGTCAAATACTCCCGGATTTACTGTCGGACTCTCTGATTTGACATAGGCAGGAGACCGTGTGACTCCCTGAAAATTCTGCTATACTGACTAGTTCGTTCTAGAGCATGGCCTCGCAGAATTACCGTATTTTTTCAACAAATGTCCAAAGAAAATTTGGCAGACGTGAATCTTCAAATGCGCACATGCGTTATTGTTGTTATGCTTTAGTTTTGAACTTCAGACTGCGGACTCCCTCATTCTGAGGGTAGGGAGTTGCACTCCCTTGTTCAAAAGTTAATTTCTACTCCTGCTAACTATTTAATGATGTGCATTTAACTCCTTTGTAATTGAATTCTTTCGACCCGATCGTAGGCGCGACGACAGGAAGAGAGAACTTGCCGCTCGAGTCTTCGCGACGGAGCCGGGCGCGCGCGCTTCAAACACGGACGAGCTGTCGTCGGCGTTCAAAGCGTGCGACGAGACAGTCACGCACGGTAACTTCTCGGACGACAGCGTACTGGTGGACGGCTCGGGGGACGTGAAGGTAGGGAGCGGGGTGTCGGTCACGGGATAACCTACCGATAGATTTAGGAAGCATGCGTGTGTGTGATTACGTGTAGCGATGATGTACATCTGACCTGAACAGCCAACAGGCCAGATAGCACCAACTTAGGGCCAACATCTTAGTTCCACACATGCCAACATTGCCTGCTAAGATCTCGAGATGCCACGTTAGAACGAAGTGGTTCTAAAGTCTAAAACGGTAACTAAACGTCATCGGAAAAAAATCTTTAAACAAACTGAACGTAACGTGCAAGTTGAGCCTAATGCAGTGAGAGAAGCGAAGCAAAGCACAGAACCAATCGCACATGCAATCCTCCCATCAATGTTATGTCCTGTGTTGTGTGTACTGCGTTGTGTGTTCTGTGTTGTGTGTTCTGTGTTGTGAGTTCTGTGTTGTGTGTACTGTGTTGTGTGTTCTGTGTTGTGTGTACTGTGTTGTGACTTGCGAGTTCTGTGTTGTGAGTTCTGTGTTGTGTGTACTGTGGTGTGAGTTCTGTGTTGTGTGTTCTGTGTTGTGTGTTCTGTGTTGTGTGTTCTGTGTTGTGTGTTCTGTGTTGTGTGTTCTGTGTTCTGTGTTGTGTGTTCTATGTTGTGTGTACTGCGTTGTGTGTTGTGTGTTGTGTGTTCTGTGTTGTGTGTACTGTGTTGTGTGTTCTGTGTTGTGTGTTCTGTGTTGTGTGTACTGTGTTGTGTGTTCTGTGTTGTGTGTTCTGTGTTGTGTGTACTGTGTTGTGACTTGCGAGTTCTGTGTTGTGTGTACTGTGGTGTGAGTTCTGTGTTGTGTGTTTTGTGTTGTGTGTTCTGCGTTGTGTGTCCTGCGTTGTGCTGACTGCATTGTGTGTACTGCTGCGCGTATATCGCCGACCTTCGTCATGTGTTCCATCGTCTTGATCTTGCGGATTACAGGTGGTCGACTGGTCACACAGCTGCACGGGACCGCGGAGTTTCGACGTCGGATGTTTCGTCGCGAGTCTGTTCCTGCTGTACTACCGGCACGAGGCAGCCAATGAGCGGCAGGCGATGTACAGCCTCGTGGACGGATGCAAACACTTCGGTAAGTTCTGCGCGAGTCGTGCGGCGGAGTCGTGCAGCGAAGTCGTGAGGCGGAGTTGCTCGCGGCAACGGAATACAATTGCGTGGGCGAAGAGAAGCGGAACCTCGGATGAGATGCGAAATCGGACGGAACATGAGCGTGGAATAGCCAACGTGAAGTAGAGGCAGCGAGGAGAAATGTGGTAAAGGGAGGAAAAATAGTACGGTGAAGGTAGAGGGATGGTATATCTTCCCGTGAAGTGACGAAAAAAAACTAATTGCGAGACGGGTGCCACGCGCTATTAAATGATATGTTTTTGCACCGTCCATTTGCATGCGCACACGTACATAAACGTGATTATATAATATGTTTTTGCTTCGTCCATTTGCATGCGCACACGTACATAAACGTGATTATATAATATGTTTTTGTCTTGCCCATTTGTATGTGCACAGTGCACACGTACATAAACGTGATGATATATAATATGTTTTTGTCTTGCCCATTTGTATGTGCACACGCACATAAACGTGATTATATAATATGTTTTTGTCTTGCCCATTTGTATGCGCACACGCACATGAACACGATGTTACATGATACATATTTGTCTTACCGATTTTCTCGCTAGTGCAAACGTACGTCGAGTCGCTGCCGCAGGAATGGCGGCCAGCGGATGGGAGCCAGTTCTACAGTGACGTCGCGGGATACGCAGGAGTCTGGCTCGCTTACAGGTGAGAGCTTCACCACATCAATGCTACGCGTACACGTATGAACGAGAGCTAGCACTGCGGGGTTCGTAGCGGGTCTTCCAAAGTCTTATAAGTACTTATTTTGCCAAAAATAAAATAAGGGCCCTTATTAGTACTTATTTTTGGTGAAATCTTAGAAAAGTACTTAATAGTCCTTATTTTTTGCCAAAGGACCATTTTTCAACATTTTCTGTGTTGAATTTCGCTGAAATCTGCTGCAATTGTGTATATAAATATT